CTGCTGTTTTGCCTCGCTTTAGAGGCACCCAAAATGACCGGCATTATGGAGGAATTTCACTTTAAGGTAAGTGTTTAGCCCATAGGAACGTATTAAGGTTTCTTCTATTTAAAACTTTTTATACTATTTTATGCTGTTAGCCGCCTAGAGTGGTCTTAACCGACCAGATAGGCAGGATATAATTTAAATAAATAAATAAATAAATAAAATTAAACGAGTTTTAATACGTTCCTATGAGCTTTTTAATATCACTTAGCGATTAAATCACTTAGCGATGTTTTTTCCGGAATGGATTAACATCGCAAAGTGAGGCACCACTGTTAATTTATTTATTTGTTAGTGGCATTCATAACATGTCTGTCCTCCAGTGAGCTCGTTGTGATGTCTTAACAGTTCTCTTTCTCCCTAACTTTAACCCCACAACAACTTTTGCTATCCATTAGAAGTGTGTCAATGAGTGGGAGGGAGTTTTTGGACTACAGCTCTCAGAACGGTGCCTGGCAAATTCTGGGAGTTGTAGTTCAAAAAGTGCAAATCTCCATTCCTATGATAGCTGTAATGTTTTTAAGTTTTATTTCTAAAGCTCTGCTTGTATACATTTGTTTTGTTTTGTTTTATTTTACGGTCTTACTCCTTAGGCGTTCTCTAAAGAAGTTGACAGCAAATCGTCCTTGAAGTCCTCGGTCATCAGCACTGGCCATCAGCTCTTGCTCGTTAAGGAATCAGAAGCCGCGGCGTTGCGCTCGTTTCTGGCAGACTACGAACAGAAGTGGGCCGACCTGATCGCTCAGTTGCCAAGCATCCAAGAGAAATTTCACAAGGTAAAAAGCCAATCAAGAGGTGAACCCATCACCAGCCCTGATCTCCCTTGACATGCTATTATAGTTATCGGTTGCAAGGTGATGTGTTATGTAGCTCAGTCATTCTTACATACCTATCCATCCTACCATACCCAAAACTATCAGTATCAAATACTGTTGTCGCTGTAGCCTCCTCAGCCTTCCATATATAACACTGATTGTAAGCATTTCTATAAAAACCTCAGCACTCAGTCCAACAAAATTATTGCTGTACTGAAGTCTCGCTGAAATCAGGGACTGTGAAGTGCCACATATTCCTTCAACTTCTTTTAAACATTTTCAACTTGGACTTGCAGTATTGATATTATCCTGCAAATGAGAGTAGGGATATGGTGGTGCTGTGGGTTAAACCGCAGAAGCCTCTGTGCTACAAGGTCAGAAGACCAGCCGTTGTAAGATCGAATCCACGCGACAGAGTGAGTTTCCGTCGCTTGTCCCAGCTCCTGCCAACCTAGCAGTTCGAAAGCATGTAAAAATGCGAGTAGATAAATAGGTACCATCTCGGTGGGAAGTTCATGGTGTTCCGTGTCTAGTCATGCTGGCCATGTGACCACGGAAATGGTCTACGGACAAACGCTGGCTCTACAGCTTGGAGACGGAGATGAGCACTGCACCCTAGAGTCGGACAAAACTGGACTAAATGTCAAGGGGAATCTTTACTTTACCTACAAGGGAGAATATTTCCCTTCACTTTCCTCCCATATCAATCCATGCAGTTCTGAACTTTGTGCCACCGTCTTCACTGCTGAAGGTTAAGAGATTATTTGATGAGAATGCTGCTGTAAGGCAAATTGAAAGGTGATTTGTAGAGCACAGTCAGAAAGAGATCAGCTTCAAAAAAGGCAGTCTGTATAAGGAGCAGATGTTTTTAGAACAGGTGGGCAGTGTGCCAGCCACAGATGGCAGACTGCCCCTGGCCTGTATTTGCTGTCTTGCTACAAATTTGAGATCTGCAACTAAATTTTCCCAGGTGGCAGCAAAATAGCTGCCTTTTAGTATGTAAATAAAACATGCAGGGGCTGCATTCCTCTTTAAAAAAAAAAGGAGCATCACACTTCCAGACAGTGTAATTTCCTCTTGAAAACAAGGCGCTTGTTCCCCATGTGCCGCCTTTACATGTTAAAAAAGTGGGAATATGAGAAATATCAGCACGCGTTTAAGAATATTTAACCTTAAAAAAAGAAAAGAGGATGAAAGAGGATGTTATATATTGATGTTATATTTAAATTATTTTAAGTGTTGTTAGCCACCCAGGCGGGATATGAATGAATGAATGAATGAATGAATGAATGAATGAATGAATGAATGAATGAATGAATGAATGAATAAATAAATAAATAAATAAATA